CAAGTAAACATCTTTCTGGTATTTTTTGCTTTCAGCCAAGATCCATCTGACATCAGCTATGATATATCCCTTGTTTCATATCCTCTTCTGAATCCATCTTGCATTTCTGGAAGTTCTCTGTCAATATAATGTTCTGACCATTTTTGAATTACCATCAGTAAGATCTTATTTGCATGTAATATTAACAACACTGTTTGATAATTTCCACATTCTATTGGATCACCTTTCTTTGGAATGGGCACAAAATATGGATCTCTTCTAGTCAGTTGACCAGGTAGTTGTCTTCCAAATCTCTTGGCATAGACGAGTAAGTGCCTCTAGCACAGCATCCATTTGCTGAAACATCTCAGTGGGTATTCCATCAGTACCTGAAATCTTGTTTTTTTGCCATTTCCTTGAGTGCAGCTTTGACTTCTTTCTTCAATACCATTGGTTCTTGATCATATGCCACCTCCTAAAATGGATGAATATCAACCAATTCTTTTTGGTACAGTGACTCTGTGTAGTCCTTTCATCTTCTTTTGATGTTTCCTGCATCATTCAATATTTTGCCCATAGAATCTTTCATGATTGCAACTTGAGGCTTAAATTTTTTTCCTTCAATTCTTTCATCTTGAGAAATGCTGAGTGTATACCTCCCTTTTGGTTTTCTAACTCCAGGTCTTTGCATATTTCATTATAATAATTGACTTTGCCTCCTGGAGCTGCCCTTTGAAATCTGTTTAGCTCTTTTATCTTGTCAGTTCTTCCATTTAATTTAGCTGCTCTCCATTCAAGAGCAAGTTTCAGAGTCTCTTCTGACATCCGTTTTGGTCTTTCCTTTCTTTCCTGTCTTTTCAATAACCATTTGTTTTCTTCATGTATGATGTTCTTGATATCATCCCACAATTCATCTGGTTTTCAGTCATCGTTGTTCAATTCTTTAAATGGTCTCTAAATTCAGGTGGGATATAATCAAGGTCATATTTTGGCTCTTGTGGACTTGGTTTAATTGCCTTCAGCTTCAACTTGAACTTGCATATGAGCAATTGATGGCCTGTTCCATAGTCAGCTCCTGGCCTTGTTTTGGCTGAAGATATTGAGCTTCTCCATTGCTTTTTTTCCACAGATGTAGTTGATCTGATTCCTGTGTGCTCCATCTGGCGAAGTCCATGTGTACAGCCACTGTATATATTGCTGAAAAAAGGTATTTGCAATGAATAAATCATTGGTCTTGCAAAATTCTATCACATTATCTCCAGTGTCATTTTTATCACCAAGGCCATATTTTCCAACTACTGGTGATTCCTCTTTGTTTCCAACTTTTGCATTCCAACCACCAGTGATAATCAACACATCTTGACTGCATGTTCAGTCAATTTCAGACTGCAGAAGTTGGTAAAAATCTTCAATTTCTTCATCTTTGGCTTTGGTGGTTCTTGCATAAATTTGAATAACAGTAGTACTGACTGGTCTTCCTTGTAGGCATATGGATATTATCTTATTACTAATGGCACTGTACTTCAAAACAGATCTTGAAACATTCTTTGTGATGATGAATGCCACACCATTCCTCTTCAATTTGTCATTCCTGGCATAGTAGATCATCTGGTTGTCTGATTCTAAATGGCCAAAACCAGTCCATTTCAGCTATTTCTTAGGATATCGATCTTTACACATTCCATTTCATGTTTGACAACTTTCAATTTTCCAAGATTCATACTTCATACATTCCATGTTCTGATTATTAATGGATGGTTGCAGCTGTTTCTTCACATTTTGAATCATGTCACATTAGCCAATGGAGGTTCCAAAAACTTTACTCCATCCACATCATTAAGGTCGGCTCTACTCTGAGGAGACAGCTCTTCCATAGTTGTATTTTGAGTGCCTTCTGACCTGGGGACTCATCTTCTGGCACTATATTGGACAGTGTTTCAGGACTGTTCATCAAGTTTTCCAGCAATATATCAAATAGTGTCTCACTGCTATTCATAAGGTTTTCACTGGCCAATTCTTTGAGAAGTGGATGGTCCCTTCCTTCTTGTAAGTCTGTCTTAGTCTGCAAGCTCTGAAACCTGTCCACCATGAGTGAGCTTGCAGGTGTTTGAAATACCGATAGCATAGCCTCCAGCTTCACAGCAACATGCAAGACACCACAGTATGACAAACTGACAGAAGAGTGGTGGACACATGCATATAGGAGGGTATATGTGTGTATAAACATGTGCATGTATAGGTGTGCAGGTGTATAGGAAGGCATATGTGTATACATGTAAGTGTGGGCAGCATATAAGTAACAAAGCACAAAAGGAACACAGTGACTGATACTTCCTAGATATAACCAAACACCTCATGAGATTGGTTGACTAGTTTTGAAGGCTTAGGATTATAGTTGCTATGAGTTGGAATTGACTCAATGGCAGTGGGTAATATAAGGGTAAGGTAATCTTTACAGAAGCAGGAAGCAGACTCCCACATCTTTCATGGAGTGGATTGGTAGGTTCAAATCAGTGACCTTTTGATTAGCAGCCAGAGCTTAACCACTGCACCACCAGGGCTCCTTGGAGCTCCCATAATCCATTGCTGTCAGTCGATTCTGACTCATAGCAACCCTCTAGGACAGATCAGAACTGCTCAGGAGGGTTTCCAAGGCTATAATCTTTACTTTCTTTTTATTTTTTATTGTGATTTGGGTGAAGGTTTACAGAGCAAATTCATTTTCCATACAGCAGTTCACATACACTTTGTCTCATGACATTCACCACAATTTACCACAATGCAACAGCTCCCCTCCCATTTCCTCCCAATAATTACCTCTTCCCTGTGTCCATCCCTCCATGCCCTCCTACCCCCGAGCTGTCTCCCAGTACATAAGCAGTCCTTCTTTCTCCCATGATTGTTCTCTCCAAGGAGTGTAGCTACCTCAGATAAATGTTCAACTCATATGCCTGTCTTTTGCTTGGCTGGAAGCCACAGGGGTGGGTTCAATTCCAGACCTGATGGGCAGCTAGGGGCCATAGTCTCAGTGGTACCACCAGGCTCTATCGGACCAACAAACCTGGTCCCCCCCCCTTTTTTTTTTCTCCAAATGACTGAGTTTTATTCACATCGTTCTCCCTCTCTATGCAGGATTTCCTACATAGATCCCCTTCCAAGTGGTTGACACTGGTAGCCAGGCACCATCTAGTTCTTCTGGTCTCATAGTCGTATAGGTTGCAGATTGGATGGTGTACCAGTCGCTAGGACTGATTGTATCCATGAATTTTTGGTTTTCTTCATTCTTCTTTGCTCTGGATGGGGAGAGACCCATCGTTGTATCTAGATGGCAGCTTGCAAGCTTTTAAGATCCCAGTCGCTACTCGCCAAAGTAGAAGGTGGAGCAATGTTTTGTGTAGTATGTTATGCCAATTGAGCTTGATGTCCCCTGCGACCATGGTCCCGAGGCTATAATCTTTATGGAAGCAGACTGTCACATCTTCTTCTCACAAAGTACCTGTTGGGTTGGAACTACCAACCTTTTGGTTAGTAGCCACTGCACCACCAGTTCCCACACCAAATCCACTATCACTGATTGTGACTCATAGCAATCCTGTAGGGAAGAGTGGAACTGCCCCCTAGGATTTCTAAAACTGTAAATCTGTACAGAAGCATATGGCCACATCTTTCTCCCACAGAGGAGCTGGTAGGTTCCAAACGATGAACTTTTAGTTAGCAACTGAGCTTTTTAACCATTGTACCACCAGGGATCCTTAGAGTTCCCATGGGGTCTAGAAATCCTCTTCCTAAGTATATACTGAAGAGAAATGAAATTATACATGGTGACTATGAGACCAGAAGAACCAGACGGTGCCTGGCTACCACTGTCAACCACTTGGAGGGGGATCTATGTAGGAGATACTGGATAGAGTGGGAGAACAACGTGGAAGAAAACTCAAAATCATAAAAATAAATAAATAAACAGGGACCATGTTTGCTGGTCTGATAGAGCCTGGTGAAACCCCTGAGACTATGGCCCCTAGCTGTCCTTCAGGTCTGGAATTAAACCCACTCCTGTGGCTTCCAGCCAAACAAAAGACAGGCATATGAGTTGAACATTTACATTAGATAGATACATTCCTTGAAGAGATCAATCCTGGGAGAATAGAAGGGCTATGTATGCACAGAGAGACAGCTCAGGGGGCAGGAGTGCATGGGAGGGAAGGGCACAGGGAAGAGGTAACTATGAGGAGGAAGTGGAAAGAGAGCTGTTGCATTGTGGGAAATTGCAATGTCATGAGACAGTGTATGTGAACTACAGTATGGAAAATGAATTTGCTCTGTAAATTTTCACCCAAATCACAATTTAAAAAAAGAAAAAAAAAATCTCAAAAAAAAACCCACTTACACATGAACTTTCATAGCATGATTATGCATAATTGCCAAAGAAAGTGGAAACAATCCAAATATTCATCAGTGGATGAATGGATAAACAAAATGTGTCACATTCATACAATGGAACATTATACAGCCACACAAAGGAATTTCTGATATATGCCACAAATGGATGAACCTTGAAAACATTAGGCTAAGTGAAAGAAGCTAGACACAAAAGGTCACATAGTGTATGATTTCATTTATAGAAATGTCCAGAATAGGAAATCCATAGAGAGGGAAAGTAGATTAGTGGTTTCCAGGGATAGAGGGAGGGGAGAATGGAAAGTGTCTGCAATAGGTACAGGTTTCTTTTGTGAATATACTAAAAACCATTGAATTGTACACTTTAAAATGGAGAATTTTATGGTGTGTGAACTTATATAAATAAGTTACATATCTTAAACATATCTCAGCTTTTAAAAAGATGGTAAAAAGTTTACTTGAGCATCTACTATGTGCCTGGTAGGGTACTGGGAACTGTATATAGATTATCTTTTTGACTCCTAACAGCCTCCGAGGGTCAGATGGTGCCACCAGTATTAGAATGTTAGAAAAGGGGAAACCGAGGCTCAAAGAACGAGTCCAATCTCACCGTACCTACTCACCTCTCCTGCGCAGGAGTAGTTGATCTTCAGGTAGTAAGGGAAGCCCAGGTATTTCTGTAAGGAGAAGGTGAATCAATGTCCAGAGCCAAGCAGGGAGCAGCTCCAGGATTCCTCTCGTTGGCCTAAACCAGGTGGGTCCCCTCACCTTGTTCAGGTCGATTGGCGCGTCCACTAGTCTTCTGAACACGCTCTCTACTGTGTCCACGGGTTTTTGTTGAAACAAGCGGTCGCTCACACTGTTCTGGCCTACCTTCTCGAACTTGTTCAAGGCAAAATGCCAGGTGCAATCCGCATCCTCTACTGCCCACAGCCTCCAAGGCGCCAATACCATCGTCAGGAGTGCCCACAGCACCTGCAGGACTAGGGGTCTCTGTCCCGAAGGGACCGCGGGGAACATCGTGGGGTAGGGCGGAACGTGGCTGCAACCTGGAGAACCCGGGTGTCAACGCCTGCCCGCAAGAAGCCGCTCAGGAGCCGCTTTCTGAACCCACGCCTCAACCTTGAGCTTCGCCCCGCCCCTATTCCTGACTCTGCTCCTGCTCTTGCTCCGGGTTCCGCCTCTGCTTTTGCTCCGGGTTCCGCCTCCTCTCTTGTTCCTGGCTCCGCCCCGGTTCCAGCCCTCACACCTGCTCCGGACCACGCCCCTATCCTTACTCCAGATCCCACCCCTGCTGTTACTCCGAACCGCGCCCTTACTGCCCCTCCTGGCCTCACCCTTGCTCCTGCTTCTCGTTTCACCCCGCCTCCTCATCTCGCCCCGGAACCTTGTTCCGCCCTTACTCTTCGCTCCGTTCCTGCTCTTCAGCCCATCTTGGTTTCTCGCTTTGGCCGCGCTCCTTCTCCTGCTCCTCCCTCTGGTCACGCCCCTGCACCTGCTCCTGGCTCTGTCCCTACTTCTTGCTCCGCCTCTCCACTTGTCCCACCGCCCCTTCTTGGCTGGTAGCTTTCTTCTTGCTTTCGTCCTGCACTGGGTCCTGGTCTGGCACCTGATGCTCCCCCTCCTCTGGCCTTTCCGGATCTTTTCCTCAACTCGCCCCTTCCCCTGTCCTCGCCCCTGTTTTTCTCTCCGGGATCGCTCTACGCTCTGCTTGCGCTCCTTACCCCGTCCCTGTTCCTCGTTGCGCGCCTTCCCTTCGCCTTTGGCCACCTGCTCTTCTGGAGCGGGCTCCTCCCCTAGTCCCTTCTCGCCCCGCCCCCTCTGCTCAATTTCAGCTCTCTCCTCGCCCGGTCCATTCTCGGCTCTCGCCCTCTCGGCTCCGCGACAATTCTCTTCTCCCCGAGTTGTCTCCTCGCCCCGCCCCCTCTCGCCTCGGACCCTCCCCTCTCCCCGCCCCCTCTCGCCTCGGACCCTCCCCTCGCCCCGCCCCTTCTCGCCTCTGACCCTCCCCTCTGGGCTAGGGTTTTCTTCGTCCGGGGCCCTCTCCTCGCCCTGCACCTTCTCGCCGCGGGTCCTCTCGCCCCGCGCCCTTTCCTCAAATTTCCGTCTCTTTTCGCCCTGCACCTTCTCACCCCTCACTCTCTTCTCAACTCTAGCTCTTTCCCTGCGCGCCTCCTCGTGGTGGGCCCTGTCTTCGCCATGACACCCCGCGTGGGTTTTAGCCCTCTTCTCGCCCTGCGCCGGCGCCGACTTGTCGGTGTGCACTTTTTGAATCCTCACCTTTTTCTCGGCCCGCGACACCTGCTCACTCCGCCCCCTTTTCTCTCCCTCCCTTTCCATGCTCTCGCCCCCACCTGCTGTAGGCCCACCTCTTGTAGCGCCGCCTCATCACCTGCTTCTGGTCTTAGCTCCTCCCTGCATCTCCCTGCCTCGGTCTCTCCCCTCCTGTCTTGTGTCCCTTCCACGGCTCTCCTCTTCACCCTCCCTCTCCCCTCCCTTTTCCCCTCCCCAGTCCCCCACACCCCCCCTGGGTTGGCCCCCAGGCACCACCCTCTTCTCCCCGCCCCGCGGTACCAGTCACTTGGTTAAAACCGGTCGACCGTTACTTGGCTGCTCCAGTCCCGCCCCTCCTGCCCGGCCTCAAAATGGTCGCCCACACCTTCTCAATTGACTTCCGCCCTTCCCAAGGCACGCCTGCCTTGCGTGCCTGTCTCCATAGTAACCTTCATCCCCCAGCCGTTGCGAAGGGCTTGGAGACAGGCAGGCTCAAGCGCCCAGATGTCCCTGACCTGACCCACAGAGGATGCTAGGGATGCAATGATATGATAGACCTAGGGCTTGGAACCGGTTTGGTCATGGTCAATGAAGTGACCAAACAGACCTGATTTATTATATAGCACGTGGGTGTGCCTGAACAGTAATCAGACAGGGAAAAATTTAAATTACATGTCAACACCCTGCTAGAAACGTAATTGCCCTCGTAGAAAACCAAGGCAGCATGCACATTGCATAACAACCAAATCTCTTGATCAGCAGGGTCAGGAGCAGTGGTGTCCCGTTCAAAGATGGCGGCTACCCATGCGCTTTGAATGTGTGTTGCTCTCCAGGGTCCTGGAAATAATCCCGTCTCCTGCATCAGGTTCCCGGAAGAGCTCATGGCACCTCTTCTAAGTCTTCCAGTTTAGGACTTCAACCCATAATTTTTCTCATTCCAATTATTGTTTAGGTACAGCCACATATTACAAATTCAGATCTGCGTGGGTCATGACTGCACTGCTTCAAACTGGCTCAAAGTCCGAGATAGAATGGCCTTCAAGGAGATCCTAATGGTTGTGTTGGCACCAAGCTTCACCCTTACTCTTCCTTCTACATAATCAGGCTGTTATACCAAAACTTCCACTCCTACCTCGAAGACCAAAAGAGCCTGTCTGCACCCTAATATCCTCCTGTACAAAATGTGGGCAATTCTCATAGAGTTGTGGGAAATAAGTAAGATAACATGTGAAGAGCAAAGCGGTACCTGGCACAACGTAAATGAACAATTTTCATTTGTATTGTGGTGCCTGACAGTTATGGGACTCAGAGGCTGTAAAACTGGCATGGTGGAATCGGTATCCGGCCACCTCTAATTTCACGAGGGGGCAGGAGAATCAAGATGTGTTAATAATTAGCTGTGGAAAAGAGTCTGGCAGTTCCTCAAAAAGTTAAACATATAACTACCATTTGAGCCAGCAATTCTGCTCTTAGGTATGTACCCAGGAGACCTGAAAGCAGCCACACAAACAGACTCATGTAGACCAATGTTTCTTGTAGCACTTGTCACAATAGTGTAAAAATAGCGTGGTCCAGGCATCTGACCTCCTCTAACTTCACAAGGAGGCAAGAAGATGAAGATTTACAGCCCAAGGCTGATTCCTACGAGGTGGAGGTCAGATATGCCTCCACACTCCAACCTTTTTACCAATTCTGACACCAACTGTACTTCCCACAGCACTGTCTACTTCTCTGCTGGGTTTGATCATTTATTGCGGTGGCCAGACAGAACTCACAGAAAATGCTCACAGTTATGGGGTTTATTAGGGAAGTAAAACTAAAAAAAAAAAAAAAAAAAACACTGCCGTGGAGTTGGATCTGACTCATAGTGACCCCTCCTTGGGTTTCTGAGGCAGTATCTGTACGGAAGTAGATTGCCTGGTCCTTCTTCTGAAGAGTGGCTGGTGAGTTTGAACTGCCAGCCTTCTGGTTAGCAGTCAAATTCAGATTCAGGAATGCTCAGGATACAGCTTTTCCATCAGGACGGCCTCTCCTCAGCTGTACCTGCCATTGGGTCTCTCTCTGGCCCTGGGGCCTCTGCCTGGCCTCTGTCCTGCCAGGCAAGTGTTACTTACAAAGCTCTTAGCTCTGTCAGTAACTGTCATGAGGCACCCCACTCCACCAGCAGGCCTAAGGGTGCTCAGTTCTAGCTCCGTGGATCAACAAACCTAGCTCCATTAAGCACCTGAAGACACCCCGCTCTGCCAGTAAGCCTCCCGTCCAAAAGCTTTCTCACTGAGCAGGAAGACTACTGCACTATCTCCTAGTCTCTTGGTTCTGCTGCCACTATTTCTCCGCCTCTGCTTCCCACCATCTTTGCCATCTCATGTCACAGCTCTCTCCTTCTGTCTCCCAGGTGGAGGAGGCTCTTAGCATAGGAATCCCAGGTCCACAGGACATGGTCTGCTACTATCTCTTCTTCTTGGTGGTCATGGTGCCCACTTTTCCACCTCTCAAATGGCTCACTTTAAGTCTAGCAGGATGGTAAAACTGACCATATTTGCGTGGTCCCAGAAGGATGTCCTGTGCCTTATTTACACTATTAGCAACTAATCCAGTCCCCTTGGTGAGCCACAAGCACCTCACTTGCATAGTCCCAAGCTGTGTTGACTGTGGCTGCTGTTGTTAGGCGTTAGTCAGTTTTGACTCCTAGTGGCCCTACATACACAACAGAACAAAACACTGCCTGGTCCTGCACCATCCTCACAACCCTCGCTGTGCTCAAGGCCAGTGTTGCAGCCATGGTGTCGATCCATCTCGTTGAGGGTTTTCCTGTCTCACTGACCTTCTGCTTCACGAGCCATGACGTCTTTCTCAGGGATGGTCCCTCCTGATAACATGACCAAAATATGAGACAAAGTCTAGCTATTATCACTTCTAAGGAGCATTCTGGCTGTACTTCTTCCAAGATAGATTTGTTCATTCTTCATTGTCCATGGCATGTCCAATATTCTTTGCCAACACCATAACTCAAGGGCATCAATTCTTCTGCAGTCTTCCTTATTCATTATTCAGCCTTCACATGCATATGACACCACTGAAAAGACAACGGCTTGGGTCAGGCTCATCTTAGTCTTCAAAGTGGCATCTTTGCTCCTAAGTACTTTAAAGAGGTCTTTTGCAGCAGATTTGTCAATGCAATGTGATGTTTGATTTCTCAATTGCTGCTTCCATGGGCGTTGATTGTGGATGCAAGTAAAATAAAATCCCTGACAACTTCAATTTTTCTACAATGATCATAATGTTGTTTTTTGGTCCAGTTGTGAGGATTTTTGTTTTCTTTATGTTGAGATGTAATCCATACGGAAGACTGTAGTCTCTGATCTTCATCAGTGCGTGCTTCAAGTCATCTTCACTTTCAGCTAGCAAGGTTGTGCCATCTGCATATCATAGGTTATTAATGAGTCCTCCTTCAGTACTGATGCCATGTTCTTCATATAGTCCAACTTCTTGGATTGCTTGCTCAGCATGCACATTGAATAAGTATGGTGAATGCATACGACACTAACGTACACTCTTCCTGATTTTAAACCACGCAGCATTCCCTAGTTCTGTCTGAACAACTGCCTCTTGAGCTATGTCCTCATGAGCACAATGAAGTGTTCTGGAATTCCCATTTTTTAGCAATGTTATCCATAATTTTCTATGATCCACACAGTCAAACACCTTTGCATAGTCAATAAAACACACGTAAACATCTTTCTGGTATTCTTTGCCTTCAGCTGAGATCCATCTGACATCAGCAATGACATCCCTTGTTCCACGTCCTCTTCTGAATCCAGCTTGGATTTCTGGCAGTTCCCTGTTGATGTACTGCTGCAACTGTTTTTGAATTATTCCCAGCAAAATTTTACTTGTGTGTGGTATTAACATTATTGTTCGATGATTTCCACATTCTGTTGAATCACCTTTCTCTGGAATGGACACAAAAATGGGACTCTTCCAGTTGGTTGGCTGGGTCTTCCACATTTCTTGGTATAAGCAAGCGAGCACTTCCAGGATTGCATCTGTTTGTTGAAATGTCTCAATGGGTATTCTACCAATTGCTGGAGCCTTGTTTTTGTTGTTGTTGTTTGTTTGTTTTTATCAATTCCTTCAATGCAACAGTGACTTCTTCCTTAACAGTATTAGTTCTTGACCCTATGCTTCCTCCTGAAATGGTTGAACATCAACCAATACTTTTTGGCATAGCAACTCTGGGTATTCCTTCCATCTTCTTTTGATGCTTCCTGCATCATTCAATATTTTGCCCACTGAATGTTCCAACTTGAGGCTTGGAGTTTTCCTTCAGCTCTTTTAGCTTGTGAAATGCTAAGCATGTTCTTCCCTTTTGATTTTCTAAATCCAGTTCTTTGCACATTTCATTATAACACTTTGTCTTCTCGAGCCATACTTTAAAATCTTGTTTAGCTACTTTGTTCAAAAGCAAGTTGCAGAGTCTCTTCTGACATTTTGGTCTTTTCTTGTTTCTTGTCTTTTTAAAGGTTTTATTTGTGTATGATGTTCTTGATGTCATCCTACAACTCGTCTGGTCTTCAGTCATTGATGTAAATGCATCAAGTCTGTTCTTCAGATGGTCTCTAAATTCAGGTGGGATACACTCAAGGTCCTACTTTGGCTCTTGCGGACTTGTTTTCATTTTCTTCAGCTTCAACATAAACCTGCATATGAGCAATTGATGGTCTGTTTCACAGTTCCTGGCCTTGTTCTGACTGATGATATTGAGCTTCTCCATCACCTCTTTTAATCAATATAGTCTTTCTGATTCTTGTGTATTCCCTCTGGTGAGGCCCACGTGTATACCAAAACCAAAACCAAAACCAAAACCAAACTCACTGCCATTGAGTCGGTTCCAACTCAGAGTGACCCCCTTTGGGTTTCCGAGTGGGTAAATCTTTACAGTAGATTGCCCAATCATCCTTCATGGAGTGGCTGGTGGATTTGAACCACCAACCTTCTGGTTAGCATCAAATGCCTTAGGCACTGTGATGGTTATGTTTGTATGTCAATTTGGGTAGGCCTGGTTG